ACATGATGGGTGGACTTTGACACAACTATTACGACAGATGCAGTAAGTCACCCACAAAGGGAAAAGAACACCGTGTGATTCCACTTAGATGAGACCCCGAGGAGGGGCAAATTCCCAGAGACAGAAAGGAGGATGGAGGTGCCAGGGGCTGTGGAAAAGAGGAAATGAGGCGTGTTCACGACCAGCCTCCCAGGAAGCCAGGACTTCTGGAGAGGGCAGGCCGAGATGGCTGACGAGCGGGTGAGCTGCTTTGCCTCTGAACTGTACCCATAAAGTAATTAAAGTGATAAGATTGCAGTATGTGTATTTTACCACAATTAAGGGCAGAAAAGGAAAACTGCTCATATCGGACCCGGAAATAGATTTGAGTGCCGTTCTCGACTTTCAGGCCTGTGAGTTCTGTGTGTGCCTGCTTGAAGGCCCCGTGCAGTGTCTTAGCATGTGAAATTCCATGAAGCCAAACGCTTGCTGCTTCCTTCCACAGGAAGAACCCTGTTGTGCACATCAGATTAGTGCAAGGTGCTGGAGAGTAAAGGTTTCATATGCCAGGAGAGCCCGCCCTGTGGGCCATAGACACGGGCGCACTGTGTGGGACCTCTTCAGCCCTTGGAAGCCAAGTGCTGGGTGTAAGCACGACCACCCCACTCGATGAGAACTAGACCCGATGTAACTCAGGGAAGCCTACGTGCAAGTTCTAACATCTTGGCTAACACGGCAGCTGTCCTGGGTTTAGAACTTTCATGATAATTCCAAGGAGGCTGAGCATCTATCCATTAATTTGATCACAAGAATGCAAATGCTGTCCCTGTTCTCTGAATGATGTGCCCCAGATCTAGCGCCTTCTCCCCACCAGTACCACCGGCACCTTCTCTTACCCAACTGCTGCGACAGCACCTCTACTTCTCCCCACACCCTCCAGCACTCTATGTTCCATGCAGTACCTAATGCCAGTAAAAAGTCAGTCAGTTCCTTTCTTTTCTATTCAAAACTCCCCAACGACTTGCCTATTCCTTTAGGAAAAAAAATAGCTACAAATGCTGCACGTGCTCGGTGATACTCCTCTAGTGACTGGAAGGCTGGGCATTGAGTGCCTACTGGTCATCAGAAACTGAGCTCGAATTGGGAATGCAAAATGAGTATTATTGTTTGCTCGCTTGGAATTTATATTTCCAAAATGAGTTGAAGACACATATAAATAAATTAAAAAGTAATGTCATTTCCCCTTGCCAAAATGCAAATAGAGATAATTGAGCAGAAACAAGGACATGGCCAGTTCTGCATGGGTCAGAAGAGAGCATGAGGGATGGGGGTACTCAAGTCTTATAGTGGGTGCTCAAGGGGAATAAGGAGTGTGGGGAGTTGCCAGGACAGGAGAGCCATGAGACAGGGGTGGAAGTGTGGGCTTGCATCTGACCGTGCCATGGGGCAGGTTACTTCACTGGAGCAAGAGCATAGACTATGACACAGTGAGGCAAGAACAAAGGCCAGATGGGAAAGTTAAAGTAAGTTCTGTAATGCTGTCACTTACACTGCCTGAATTTACCATTCATCTTCTGGGCTATGGAAAGCCCATGAAGATCTTAGGATAGGAAAGGGCATTTTTATTATAGAGAAGTCACCTTGGAAGCAATGAATAACTTTGAAGGGTCAAAGTCAATTAATAATAGGAGCTTGCACACACCAAATGCCGACTATCTGCCAGGCTTTCTGCTAAAATGTTCACTTTTCTTACATTTATTCTCAAATTAACATATGTGATTGGTACTGTTATTTTTCCCCTTTACAGAAAGAGGCATTAAGTTAAAGGGATGTAGAACTCAAGATCACACTGTTAGCAGGTTACAAAACCAAAACAGAAACCCAAAGAAGCAGATGTTAGAAAAGAGGGGAAAAGGAGGCACATTCAAGAAAAGAGGTTCCAGAACACTTTTTGTTATCAAGAAAAAGTGGTGATGGAAAGGTGGTGCCTCACATAGCCTCTGGACTTGGCTGCGATGCCCTGGGGGATGACAGTGTATGTTGCTACTTACTAGTATAGAGAAGCATCAATTTTATTTTATTTTATTGTTTTATTAATTTTATTGAGAAACAAATAGGAATGAGACAGTTTCAAAGCTGATTAGTAGGACAGTTTCAATAATTAATACATTGCATATTGTTGTCTTCATAGTGGTTATTATTGCCGGTCCTGTGGCTAACCCCTACTATTATGGACTACTGCATTGACTTTAGAATAGCTCAGGAGAGACCTGGGAGGCAGGTAAACAAGAATTTCTGAAGTAAGCCTTGGAGATCAAGATGTAGCTGTGGGCTCCTCCACTGAGGGGAGGAGCGGTTACAAGGTTAAGGAGCTCAAGAGCTGATAGAAGCATGTCAGGTGTTGCGCTATGTGGTCTACACAGGTGACGGTGTCTCTGCCCCCGTGGATGAACCCGTGCGTGGGACATGATCACTGCCGATAATCACATTGAGATAAATGTTATGGGGCTTCACTCAATGACTGTGCGGTTATCCAAAGGAGAAACTTGGACACAGGAATGACATGTGCCCAGGGAGGCCAGCAAGCCAGGGAATGGTGAGGGGCCAGGAAATGACTCAGAGCTGCAAGACAGGGCATGGCACAGAGCATTCACTGCCGCCTGCAGAAGGAGGCATCGCTGCGCTCACCTGTGTGTAAGAGCTGAACTAACTTGTAAAACTCAGCCACAAGAAAAAAAATCAATCTGCTTATGGGACAAGAATAAGAAAACTAGTGATATTCCTGCATACCAGTACAGGTCAGCAAAACACATTCACAAACAGAAGAAAAACACTCCATAAGCTAGTATGTAAAGATAACCCAAAGATATTAAGAAAATTATAAAAGCTATGAAATGAAAATATCCATCAAAACTAGAACAATTGAGTAGACAAAGTTAAAATTTTGACAAGATTTATAGAACTCAACATTAAATGTCAAATTTAAAAAATCAACAGTAGGTCAAAAATGAAAATTCAGTGAGAAAGGCTGTGACATGACTAAAATCCCATAGTTAGGAGATAAATAGATAGAATGAAAAACTTTTAAATAAAAATTAATTTGAGATTAAAAGGGTTCAGAAGAAACATAGAAAATAGAGAAAGAAGGTATGACACACATATAGCTTCAAAGAAGAAAACTGAAAGAACCAATTAGAAAGAAATACTAACCACTCTAATGTAAGGTAACATAAAACTATATGTTGAAACTTGAAGTCACATAAGGAAGAGGCAGATCACTTCCCTGAGAACATGTTTTAGGAACAGCCACATCAAGGTGCCTTCTTAAAATAAAAATTTTGCTTTAAAAAAGAAAATATTCTCCTGGCATCCAAGTAAAAGGTTTAAGAGCTTATATGAGAAGGGATACTAGATTTGGAGGGACTTTTCCATGACAATGCTTTACGCTGGTGAACAAGGAAGTAACAGGTTTGAATATTCTCTGAAATACATTCCAGCACGTTGCCTTCTGTGTGTTTTGACTCCTGTTCTGCTGGGGAAGGTGCCTGGAATTTTCTGCTCTTTGGCTTCCTTGCTTTCTCCCCATGACTTTTCCTGGCTTCTGTGATTCTGCATTGGCCAAGGGCAGTTCTCTCACAGAGTCTAGAAATGGGTACAAATTAGGTCTCAAATTAAAACTGTAAAACCATAAAGTCTGCGTAAGGATCTCTATCCCTATTCGTGGCCACACTGATAACCACGTGCTGTTATGCAACTGAAATTACTCCGGGAATGCTGTCCACACTTCTAGTACCTTTCTAGAGAGATTAGAACAGCAAACTCCAGACAGCAGACACTGACCAAAGGCCTGGATAAACACTAGTCTAGCTCATAAATAACAAAGAATGGTCAAGTCAGGATGCCATTATTTGCAACAAATGGTTGCATTTTTGTGCATAGAAGAGAACATCAGGGAAGAGAACCAGGCACAGTGTGCTTCCTGATGAAAGCCTGCATCATCACTGGCCTGCAGTGATCAAGCTTACCCTCGCCCAAAGTCTAGCAGTAAGTACCTATTTGCAGAAAACACAATGGATAGATTTTTTAACCACACCAGGCAAGGAACATCATCCAGTCAAGACAAAGAATATTCAAAAATATTTTTTAAAATGAAAGGGAAATTCATAGCAGAAAAAATATATATATATTATATATATCAAACAATCACATGAGGATCTTATTTGAATTGCATTTCAAACAAACTATTAAAAATATGATAATCAGAAAGATATGAAAACTGAGTACTTGATAATATTAAGAAATGATTGTCATTGTTTATAGGTATGATAATAGTATTGCTTTCTAAATTATTTTTATAGGTTTGGTAATGTATTGGTCTTTAAATTATTTTAATACCACATTTATAGATGAAATAATGTAATGCCTAGAATTTACTTTAAAATAATCTGGCACCAGGGAGAAAGTACAAGTATATTTGAAGAAATAATTAGCGCTCTACTGAAAATCACCTAATCTGAGTGGAAGGTGTAGCAGATTCATTAACCTATTTGTTTTTCCTTTTGCACATGCTTGAAATTTTCAATAGTTAGAACAGTTTTGCAAGGCATAAGGAAGGTTTACAAGCACACGCATACTGTGCTTCAGACTCGAGCTGTGTTCTGGAAGCAGCCTACCTCATGATTGCTGGGGCACGTAGGAGAGCTGACAGGAAAGGTCGTCTGTAGATTCTATAGTAGCGCGTCCCGTCTTCATCTGAATGCCCGTCGTGTTAACCTACCTTTCTGCACACTGCAACTCAGCGGAACACCTTAGAGGAGAACGAGATCGCAGGGGGGTCAGGGTGAGCATTTCAGAAGAAGGGTCCTCATCGAGCAGTTAACTTTGAGCTTTAAACTACGAGTCACCAAGGTAAAGGCCTCGCGTGTGTGCTTGCCTGTGATGGCTTGCAAGAAAGAAAACCAGCCCGGGAGTTAAATTGCAACCCTTCCCTCATCTCCTTATTCTCTGCGCTTGCTTTCTAGATATTTCCACACAATATACTTAGGCATCCGGAGCCGGCAGAGCGGGGAGAACGACCGCTGGAGGTTTTACTGGAAAATGGTGTACGAGTACGCGGACGTGAGCATGCTGCACCTGCTGGCCACCTTCCTGGAGAGCGCGCCCCAGCTCGTGCTGCAGCTCTGCATCGTCGTCCAGACGCACAGCTTGCAGGCCCTGCAAGGTAGGGGCTTGCGCCGGCTCGCATTCGGGAGAGACCGCCGGAGACTGGGCCGGACTCCAGGACGGCGTCCTGGCGCCCCTTGTGCACGCAGGGCTGCCGTCTGTCTGCTGGGTTTCTTACGTGTGATTTGTGAAACTCGCGTGGTGTTCCTTCGTCTTCGCTACTCCAGAGACCGAGCATTGTCCTCTGCCCGCCAGTCACACTCTTAGTAGGAAGAAAAATAAAAGCATGTGTGATGATGTTACAGTTGGTCAGTGTGGTGGTCCAGTCAAGGCTGTTTGGTTTTTCTTATAGAATAAAAAGTATAAAGAGAGACATAGCTATCATTCTCTAACATATACGAGACTCTCTTGTCACTCTCTGGTTCTGGAAATGTGAGCTCCTATGTTACCAGGATTGGCCTGGAACTGACAGTCTCCCTTCCGCAGCCTCCCGAGTAGCTGAGCTTGCACCGCCTAATTTTGACATTAGGAAATGAAAAAAGGGAGCCAGGGATTGATCAGAAATGGTATGGATTACCCTAATGCTTAAAAAAGAAAAGATTCTTAGGGAAAAAATTGTCAATATTTGACAACGCATTTTTTGATGTGCTAAACAGTTGTATACAACTGTTGCATATTATCATCAGTCTAATACATTTCTGTTGCTTTGTTGTTTGATAATCTCATTAATAAGATTATTCTATTTATAAGAGGACTGCCCTGGTGTTTCCTTAGGACCAAACCACTCTAGAATGAAGCAGCAACGTGACTGGGCAGACTGGTAGGTACCCAGGTGAACAGAGAAGGGCTTGGGTGGCAAGAGGCCATTTCTGAATAAAATGTCACATATCTGTGGTTGCAGGTAAACAGAGGCTGGCAGTGACAGCACAGGGCATTGCGCTGTTCCTGTCTTTTCCAGCAGCACCCTCTGTGCCCACATCTACACTTACGGGCGCTGTCCCATTCTGGCTCTGCCCCACCTTGGGACCCAGCTGGGGTGGCTGCTGAACAGCGTTGGGTGGACATAGGCTGGAGCTGGGCACGCAGGGGCACATGTACTGTCACGTCGCTATCCCGTCACAAAGCCTTGCGCAGGCTGCTTGTAGGTATCTGCGCGCTCCAGCCGTCTCTGACACCAAGGTCACAGCTTAAACCCAGAGGCCTCCCCCTCCCTCGTCCTTGAATCCATGAGCACCAGTAGGCATGCAGCGCCAGGTAAACGCTTGAAGAAATGGCCACCAGCCAATGACATAAATGAAACTGAAAGACAGCAGCAAGCTGAATCCAGGCGAAGAATCTAGTGCTCATTTTCAGACCAGCTTGGCAACCTCTAAGCCCAGAATCTTTTAAAGCAAAAAGAGCCAGTGGGGAGTGCCCGCACCTTTCTGCAGCACAGGAGTGTCTCTATGGATTTTCTAAAAGATATAGAAAAGCAGAAAGGAGAAAAGAGTGGAGATAGAAAAGGGATGAGACAAAGTCTAAGAAAATGAGATTGCCTTTTTAATATAAGACAGTTCCGTAAGATTTCACTGAAGTGGGGCAGTGCTTGGTCTTTATGGGATGACTTTTCCCGATCAGAGGATCCGGGTCACGTTTCTCTGTAGGATCCAGTTTGCGGTGCTTCCCTCACGTCTGGTTCCACCAACTTCTCTGCACAGCACTGTGTATTCACCTCAAGCACCCATAGGCTCGTGTGCTACATTTCAACTTGACCAAAGGAAACTTGTCAAATTTCAGAATTTGGCAGCGAACTGTATTACTCACAAGGTAGACATAGAACAGGCTGGTTCAGAGGTCGCTGGGCTCAGTGCAAGACACTGGGCCTAGAGGAGAGTAAGGAGCCTGCCAGGCTCAGGCTAAGGCGGCTCTGTTTTTAGCAAGGGATGAGGCAGAAGCTTTTGTGGCAGAACAAGAGTGACAATACGTGACATCCAACAGCAGAACAGCAAAGCTTCCAGCAGAGACCAGGGACCTCACTGTCTGGCCCCTTTTGCACGACAAAGAGAGATCTCCCTTCTAGATGAGAACTTCTAAACACTGCTCTGCCTACAGACCTCCCAGGTACAAACCACCCAGCTTTTGAATTAAGCTGGTGTGGCCACAAGGACAGAGCTTTGCCCCCTAGGAAAGGAGACACAGCTGCGATGCCGGGGCCTCCTCTATCTGTATTTGGTACATCTGCAGTGGTGAGAAGTCCTCGAGATTTGAGTGTAGAAGCCCAGCTCGCTGCTGTGAGTGCAGACAGTCCGCGAGACGAAAGCCGGGAGTTGCGCAGTAGCCAAGTCACCTGAACTGGCACAGCTCCAAACGTTCTCTTTTAGTAGTGAGAGAATAATCCTGGATCTGTAAATCATTTTGTATGTGACTGTGCCTCAAATTAATTTGGGATAAAAGGAAAATTGCTTTTTTACCCCAATTTCAATTTATCACTCTCTGAAGGACTCTGTTTTAGTAACAAAAAGAAAATCAAGCAAGAGACGTGACAGTTTAAAGTAGTTGCTAAAAATTTTATTCTCCTCGAGGAAGTTGGCCGCTATTAGCTGGGCGAACACTTCCTGGGCTCTGTCCACTGACTGAGTCGTTCAGTCGGCGCCTCCTCTCTGTACAGGCCGCCGGGAGAATCGTGGACGCCTAATTGTCCTTCAGGCCGTACCAGCCTGCGATGCCTTGGCTGCGGAGCCCAGAGCAGCGGTCAGGGTAGAGCTGAACCTCAAAACCTGGGCCTCCAGGGGCTTTTACTCCACAGTGTGACGAGTGTCGGAGGGCGCTAGCGTCAGATGTAGAAGCTCGCCGAGACCAGCAGAGCCTGGCCGGAAGGAACGCACGAGGCGGCCCCGGGACACGCGTCCTCGGGACGCTGCAGGGTGCGTGGGCGCCTGCGCTGCAGAGCCTCCCGGGCCAGCTCCTGTCCCAGGGCTGCAGTCTCAATTTCATACCCACTGGGAGTGGGGAAGGAAAGGCGCAGGGCAGGCAAGGAGAGGGAGGGAGAAGGAAGGGGGCTCCGAGGAGCAGGTGGGCGGTGGGGCTCCGGGCACTACACACAGAGGCCATGCCGGTGGTGTGGAGGGTGGTGGGCAAGCTGTGGCCTGGACCCTGTGGCTCCGCCTCGGAGCAACCTCTCCAGCACATTCACTCTGTCTGCCGGCTCCCTGCTCAGAGCCTACCTCCTCCTCTTGGGCCCTCCCGGGCACCCAGGCCCGCACATCCCTCCCTTCCTCATTCCCGTCTCCGTACAGCAAGCAGAGTGGTGGTTTACACTCCATTTATCCCCAACACATACTACTTACCTTCAGGATTTTTCTGGGCATTTACTGAAAATTAATTCAAATTCCTGAGCAACTTTCCGAATTCATCTTCTCCCTGGGTCCCCTCACTGGCTCCAACTCTGACTCCACACTGCTCTTCGCTCATGCCTGGCTATCGTCCCACTTCCTTCCACCTCAGGACCTTTCCACACGCTGTGAGCATCTCTTTGGGAGATCGCATGCCCACTCGCTGCGGCTGGCTCAGCTGCACGCACCTCCCAGAGTCCAGCTCCGATCCCTCCCCACCACCTGTCTAGCTGCCCATTCATAATTTTGTTCCCCCGTAGGCAACCTTCCTACAACTGCTTAGCCTCGATCTGATCATGGGTTCTGGGGATAATAAGAGTGCCACATTCATTAGATTATAAAATTAAGAATACTAACAGATGCAGAATACTCAGCAAAGACTCTGGGCACACAACATGGGGATTCTTGGACTGTGATAGGCATTGCATACCCCAGACTCGTGCCAAAGTCCAGGCTCCACATGAGTATGTCTTACGTTGGGCCTGATGCCCAGAGCAGGGAAATGACAGGTGAAAGTGGTGATATGGAGGAACAGGAGGAATAGCCAAATCTGAGATCATAAAACATAGGTTAATGGGTCTTTTTAAAAAGGAAGCTCAGGGCTTTGATACATAGGGCAGGAGCTAGGAAGGCAGCTCAGGCTTCAGTGTCTGCTCAAGAGAGAACCTGGTTCAGCAAAGACAGGCAGGCATGGGTGGAGTCATTTGGATGGTGTAACATTTTCAGACATTTTGGGTCTGCAATGGGGGAGGATAAGCAGTTTGGAAACACTTGAGACTGTTAAAAGAGAAAGAAAAAGAGAACTTAGAAAAAGCGGTCAAAAATGTGGGATCTTCAGTTCTGTCTAAATGGTGCAAGCAAAGGTCACAGGCCAATGCTCTGTCACCTTTCTTGATCTTTTGGTCAAGAGCTCATACAATGAGAATCTGGACAAAGGTGAACTGCACTAGGGGATAGCCAAGGTCATTTTTTGCTTGTGACAGTAATTTCCTGGTTAAGTCATCCCCATATCAGTGGCTTTCCATTTATGGATTCAACCTATGGAAATATCAGGAATAAAATACTCAGGACATAAATTAGGCCTTCCCTAAATTGAAAGCTGCCAACCTATGTCTTTTCTTGTCATTTTTCCTTAAACATTACAGGATGAGAAGTACTGACTTAGAAGTATCTATATTGTTTAGATCTTTTAGCTAACCTACAGGGATTTAAAATATATTGGAGGATATGCTTAGGTTGTATTCAAGTGAGACTTGGGCCTCTGTGGATTTTGGTATTCAAAGCGAATCCTGGGTCCAGTCCCTTGAGACCACCAGGGGACCGTGCTGAGTGACTTTGCTGATGTACACCCAGCCTCTCATTGTTGGCAGAGAAGGATGATGTCCGGATGTCCGGATGATGGCTGGATGTCTGGATGATGGCCCCCAGTCAGGTAGCACTGCTCAGTGTCATAGTCCTGCATTCAAACTTTGTGCTTCTTGGAGCACCCAGGGAGGGCTGTGTGGGACTGTGGTGCACTTCATCATCCTCTCATTGTGGGCAACCTCTCCTGACATGCAGCCACTGGACTTTGGCCACCAGGTGTGCCTGGCGCCTCAGTGCAGCCCCATGCGGACATGATGCTCCTTGTAGGGGGACAACTAAGTCAGGCCTTTCCTCGATCGGATCAGTGCCATTCTACCCACCC